CACTGAGGCAGAGGTCAGGGGACAGGAGAGGTGTCTCACTGTCTGTCAGGGTCACTGAGGCAGAGGTCAGGGGACAGGAGAGGTGTCTCACTGTCTATCAGGGTCACTGAGGCAGAGGTCAGGGGACAGGAGAGGTGTCTCACTGTCTGTCAGGGTCATTGAGGCAGAGGTCAGGACAGGAGAGGTGTCTCACTGTCTGTAAGGGGTCACCCTGGAGGCAGAGGTCAGGACAGGAGAGGTGTCTCACTGTCTGTCAGGGGTCACCCTGGAGGCAGAGGTCAGGACAGGAGAGGTGTCTCACTGTCTGTCAGGGGTCACCCTGGAGGCTGGCAGAGCTGGGCAGGCCCTAGCAGCAGAACAAGCAGAGGGAGAAGGTCCTCGGGAGAGTTATGACAGAATCCCATGGAAGCAAGCTGTCATTTAAAGCCAAACCACTGGGAATCTTCTGACGATTCATGCCGGGCATTGCATCACTGGACCTGTCCCTGGTCTCCCTGTCTGGGACAGCTGACTTGGGGCGCTCAGGAAGAGCCAGCTTGGCCAGGGGAAGGCAGGGCCCGGAGCCCACACTGCCGTGGACTCCCTAAGCCCAGGAGCTGTCACAGGAGCAAATCGGCCAGTCCCAGCGGGAGGTCAGGCCTGGGGTGTGGGCACTAGGGAAGGACGCAGGCAGCAGCTAAGCATCCTGTAGCCAAAAGTCACAGGAGCCAGTCCCCACTCCAGCGTTAACCCGTTAACCATCCCCTTCCTGAAGCTCTAGGAAACAGGAGAGCTGCGACCCCCTGGGCACCTGGAGAGTGCACAGCTCTGCAGCACCGAGCCTCCCAGCCAGGCCCCGGGGTTGCACCTGCTACAGCCAGCGCTGGACACACACGTCATGTGTACCCAGACACGCACCCAGGCACAGAACTCATGGTGGTACCCGCACACATGTGTATAGAGAGGGGGGTCGTGGGGGGCGACACGCGACTCCACGGGCTACGCCACCAGAGGCCGCACTCATGAGCGGGCATCCTCAGCACCACCTGGCCACCGGAAGCGGGGGAGCCCTGACAGTTACCCCAGGAGTCCTGCAAAAGGCTCCCATCCCATGAGGAGGCCTGTGCACGCTGCCCGTCCAGCCCGAGGACCAGACGCTTCCCCAGAAGGAGGCCCTGGGGGAATCAGTATTTACAGAGTGGAGGCTGGAGGCTGCAGAGAGCAGGCCGGGGCGGGAGAGAGTGGGCTCCTCTCTGATCCTGGAGGAGGCCGGGGTGGGAGAGACTGGGGTCTTCTCTGTTCCTGGAGCAGGCCGGGCTAACAGGGTATCTAACACCAAGCACCGGCTTCATGTGGATTAATGGCTAATATTTAAAAATTGTTGGGCTGACCTGTCACTAAAGTTTTCTTCACTTTGATAAATGAGCTTTGAACAGCAGGTGATATGAGTAGAAATATATATAAAGTACAGGAGTCCCTGGGCGTAGAAAATGGACAGTTAAGGAACAAAACAGCCTTGAAACAGCAGGTTGGGGTAAAATGGGATAATGACCAGGATAAGAGGTGGTTGAATGGAGAAACAGCATGAATAAGGACATATGAAAATGTTGGCTAAACCCAAACAAAACCCTTGCAGCAAGTGTGATTTGTAGGGTGAAAGGCCGTGTCTGAGGGGGAACTTCCACAGCAGGACAGGAGGACAGGAGGAGAGGAGAACAGGAGGACAGGAGGACAGGACAGGAGGACAGCAGGACAGGAAGAGAGGAGGACAGGAGGACAGCAGGACAGGAGGACAGCAGGACAGCAGGACGGGAGGACAGGAGGACATGGTTGGACCGGCGACCCCATGGTGAGGGCATGGCCCTCAGCCCACGATGCCGCAAGGTGGGCCTGAGGGGAGGAGGTCAGATGGGAGGGGGGGGAGGTCAGATGGGAGGGGAGGAGGTCAGATGGGGGG